CCGCTGCCCTGATTGTCGGTCCCCTCTCTCGACATACTTATCCCAATTAAATACTAATTTCTTGTATTTTTATCATTAAAAACAATTGTTGTGTTGTTTTTAATGAACATTTATTTTATAGCTGTTTGAGTTAATATTAATAGCCTTCTGATCCCGTTTCTCATCACTTTCTACACACAATAATTTTTTTTATTATTGTTATTAATTGATGACATTATTGTTGTTAAATATAATTGTTTATACTGAGTTAATTATACATTTAATTAGTCCATCATGCCTATTCAAACTCGGATCTAAAACAAATTCAAACTCCCTATAACAACAACTTATTTAAGATAATTTGTGACAAAAATTAACAAAATTAAAATTAATTAAAACTATAAATCCTATACAAGAAGCTTTATTTGGACACTGAATCCATACTCTAAACTACTTCGGGCGGTCAGTCCGGCGGACAGCCTTTTTACGATCAATGCGGACATCGGTCACAACCCCGAGGCGGTCACCGGGAGTGTTGGTGTATTGATAGGACTGATACATCAGAAAGATTGAAATCCATATATAAATGAAAATGTCTATAATAAGTGCCTGCGGGCCCGTACTTCTAGCCAGCTCTGGATCAATTAGCCACAGAACAAACTCCACGATCCCAGTAATAGCCAGTGGGGCGCCCAATATGCCTGTCCATAGCTGCCAGGGCTCGACCCCAAACCCATCCCTGGGCAGCAAACTACTGAGAAAGGCGAAAAAGCCCCGCCGGCGCACAATCTCTAGGCCCACATACGGTTGGTCACAGTCGGGACAGTTGGCCGACCGGCGGACAACCATCGAGTGTCGCAAACAGTCCATACATATCTCTCCCTGAGTGCCCCGACAGCCGCACACCCAGTAGTCTATTCCCGGTTCAGACAAACAGATTTTACATAGATCTTCCTCCTCCTGCACCGCCTCCTCCTTCGCCACTTCGATGTCCTGCGGGTAGTCCTCGGGTGCGGCCAACGGAGCCATTGGTATGTTTGTGGACTGAATTGCCGGCACTGGGGGTACGACACCGGGCGGTCTACTGAGTCTTGATTGCAAACTCGATGCGCTCGCAGTTGACTGATTTGAATGAGGGTATGGAGTGGCGGATCCACTGATAGTATATATGCCTCGACCCGCCCCGGCCTGCGGTACTGTCCCTTCTGCTCGACGTAGTACTGGTATACCACTGACGGTCGCCCGATCCGTATGCCGGTTGTAATGGCCAAAGGGCCCTGAACTCTGTCCGGCCGATTGTCCCGGTGTTGCGCCCGAGTTCGCAGGTGCGGCCACTCGTCGGCCCCGGTTTTGGGATCCGCTGCCCTGATTGTTGGTCCCCTTTCTCGACATACTTTTCCCAATGAAATACTAATTTATCGTATTTTTATAATTAAAAACAATTGTTGTGTTGTTTTTAATAAACAATTATTTTTTAATTATTTGCATTTAATATTATTAGCCATACAAACAATATTCGCTATCAAACCTAACCTAAGAATTATGTGATAAATCAATGACTATTCCAATTAAGTATTATACTATTACTTCAGTCAATCAAATCTAAACCAAAATCTCGACTGAAAACCTCTTTAATTGTTTATTAAATAAATAACTAAATTAACTAAACGTCGTGTTCAGTGCGACGGATAGCCCTTCGGGTATCGAGGCTGACATTAGCGAAATGCCCGGTGCCGGCGCCCAGACTCTCATTACTGAAGTATGCGTCCAATTGATGGATGAGAATACCTAATATACAGCAATAAAGCAAAGCGACCGGAGGGGTGCCGGCGCCCGCACCCACCTCCACCCAATGCCAATCGATTAGCCACAGACCAAACAACATGAGCAAAAACAGAGCTAATGGTCCGCCCAATATGGCCGCCCATAGCAGCCCATGCGGCGTCCGTTCGCTGTAGAAGTTGCCACCCATAAAAGTGTGTGTCATAAACCGCCAAAACCCGGCCCTACCGGTAAACCTGAGGCCGACATAGGGTTGTCGACAGTCGGGACAGACCCGCGACTGATGTGAGATTGTCCAGTGCCGCAGACATTGCATGCAAATCACTCCCTGAGTGCCCCGACAGTCGCACACCCAGTAGTCTATTCCCGGTTCAGTCAAACAGATTTTGCACAGATCTTCGCCCTCAGACTCCGTATCGGAAGCGTCTGAAGGCATCGGTATTACTGTGGTCTCAGCTGAGGGCACAACTGATGGCACAGTCGGTGTGACACCAGAGGGTCCGTCAAAGCGTTCGGCGGGAGGTTGTATTGACGGACCCGATGGCGGACGAGATGGTCCCGCAACTGATGGCAGGGTTGGCCTCTCCCGGGCCTCTGCATTGAAATATAAGCGTCTCTGTTGGGGACTCTCTAAGGGCTCCGAGCGGTGGGCGTAATAGGAGTCGGGAGTGGGCGGACCGGGAAAATACCGGGCTCTGGCCTCACGGACTGGCCCTTCACTAAAGTATCGCCGCTGTTGTGATGGCCTCTCATTGGGGTCCGAATGATAGTAGGATCGGGCAGTTCTTCCCCCTCCGGCCGGTCTTTCGCTAAAATATCTTCGTTGCGGCGGACTATCGACGGGCACCTCATGTCTGGGTATATTGTAATAGCTGTGGGGAGGGATTGTCTGCGGGGGTGCTATTGTTTGCAGAGGTATGGCCTCCGGTGCCGGCGAGCGCCCAATTGGCGCCAAATTTCTGCGACTATTGTAATAATCGTTGTCGTAATACTGCAGACTTGGAGGCCCTTCGGGTGATGTCTGTTCACTCGATTGGCCCGGCGTTTGGGATCCATTGCCCGGCTTGTGATCGTTGTCCCCCTTTCTCGCCATCACTTTTCCCAAACAAATACTGATTTCTCGAATTTTTCATAACAATTGTTAAGATTTTATTTTAATTTTGAAAAATTGAATAAATTATTTACAATAAATCTAATTAAACTGAAATAATATAGAATTTTAGTAATACTTTTACCCGAATACTTTTACCCGAATACTTTTACCCGAATACTTTTACCCGAATACTTTTACCCGAATACTTTTACCCGAATACTTTTACCCGAATACTTTTACCCGAATACATTTATGATTGTAATTGAATACTGACTGACCGTTAGGTTTGTCTAAAATTAGTGTCACTTATGAATTAACTATTGCTATCTATTGGCCATAAATTGAAAACTGACTGACCGTTAGGTTTGCCTAAATAAATCTAATTTAATATTTGCACCTTATATAAATTAAATTAAATTAGTTATTGTCATTTAGTAAATAATAAATTGTAATTTAATAATGGTAAATATTATTATTCAATTGATCTAACTCGGTTTAAGGACAGGCAGAGAATTAAATAGGGTGTGGTTTGTATTTCTTAAACATTTTTTATGATTATTTTAACTTAAATTTTTAGCATAGTTTTCAACTAATTTCCACACAAAAAACAAATGTGAAAATAATACAAGTTTTTAGAGTTAATTACAGATAAAGTAAACCTAAACTTATTATAAATGATAGATAACTCGACAGTAGTTCACATAAATTGTCGACAAATCTACCAAAACTTTACATTTTATAAAAATTTCAAATGAGAAATTACATTTAAAAAACAAACATTTATTTTTGATAACATTTTTTGCGATAAAATTTTGTAGACAAAACACAACAACAAAAAAAGACAATCAAAACTAACATAAAAACTAATGATGTCTTCATTTGTCTAATCGTTGTTTAATTGAAATCAATCATAACATCACTATTTGCTGCCCTTTTTCTTGTCCCCCTTTTCGCCCTCTTTGTCGCCTCCCTTTCCGGGCGGGTGTTTGTGTTCAGGTTTTTTGGCGCCCCCTTTGTCTCCAGCGGGAGGTTTGTCTGTTTTGGCCGCCGCCGGGGGTTTGTCTCCGTGTGGTTTGTCCGCCGGTTTGTCAGCCGCCGGGGGTTTGGCCTTCGCGTCGGGCGACTTGTGTCCACCGCCTTCGGCTTTGGCCGCCTTCGGGGGACTCTTTGACTTTTGTGGGCACATCTTATAAGCGGCCCAAGCGATGCCTCCCAACACAACGGCCGCCACAACCATTTTACCGCCGCCTCCGCCGCCGCCCGCTTTCATGGGTTTCACGGGTGGGGCCGCACCTCCACCTCCCGATGCTTTCGTACCACCGCCTCCTCCGCCGCCCTCTTTCTTACTGCCGGCCATTGTTTTTGTCGATACAAAAGGACTGATTTGTTGGACAACTATTTCGTAGAAATTTTTGTTTTTCACAACCGATTCTCACATCCGATAAATTTGAACAAAAGTTACAAATTCTTAGTTTCAAAGTTTTATACATCGAGACAACAATACAATACTGTACTTATTGTTAACATTAATTAAAAGTTGTAATTTATTTTACTTTTAACAATGAGTGTAATGTATGAACTATAACATTTTCAAGTGTGTGTTTTATAGGCGATTAATTGATATAGTTTTTGGGACTTTATTTGTTTTGATAAAAAGACAATTTATTGATTTATTTCAACAATTTTATAAAAAATTTTTAATTTATCAAATACAAGGTTCTTATACTGTAATAAATTATACTAATAATAGTGATGTTTTACATTGAAATAATAATGGCATTAACTATAAACATAATTAAAATAACTGTAAAAAAATTACGTGAATGTAAACAAAGCTTTAAATTTAATTCTCAATCAATTTCAATACAAATTAAGTCCAAAACTAACTAAAAATATCTAAAATTATTTGTTTTTTGTATGAAAAAGTATATAACTTTAAGTTTTATGCATTGACTGAAAACTTTTAATCTTATGTCTGAATGAAAGTCTGAAAAATATCTCATTTATATAAAACACAATTAAATAAATTTACACTTTTGCCGCTTTAATTCAATTTAAAACTAATAATCAATGTATTTGAATGCAAATCAAGTGAAAAATAAACACAAAACTATTTGTAAAATTCATATTTCTTGCGAAAAATCAATCAAACTTTGTGTCCATTTTCAATGTGATATAAATGCCAATTGAAGTACGAGTCCATCACTCGATCGGATTCAATAGAAGAGGTAGTTTTGGGTCCCTTTCGGATCAGCCAAAAGAATTCACTCTTTGTCATCTCAATCTGTGGCTCCGGTTTCAATGTGATGAGCACTGGACCCGCTTTCCTGTCCTCAACAAACATATCGTACGCCAACTGAAGAGACCATAAAATGTATATTAATTAGACATAAGTTATATGTAATTAATGGCAAACCTTATGGACGCCATTCTTGTGGACCAATTTCTTGAGTTTCTTTTCGGACATCATTTTTGGCCACAAAAACGTTTGATACAAATCTATGAATAATAAGTAACCGAAAAATTGATTACGAGCCGAAACAATGTGTGTAATGTATTTTGAATGGGATTTTCAATTATTATAATTAACTCGTGTTTTATTTGTAGATAATTAAAAGTGTAGACCAATGGTGATGTCTGAAGACTAGTCATTACAGCAAGAGATCCCACCATTTATTGCCGATAATATCAAGTCTAACGATGAGATCGCGGATCAGATCAAACAAATATTAGGATTGACTATAACTAGAATACGAGTCATCCGCCGAAGACACACAGTATTTTCACATTACAATATTCTTCTGTTGTTATATTAATTGATATCATATGAAATGTCTTAAAATCTAGTAATTGATCCATTTGTTAGTCAACTAAAAACAACATGTTTTTTATTTATACAAATAAATTTACTGTACATATACACTTCAGTATTGTTTTAGTTAAAACTTTAAAATGTGTTTAAAGCTTTTTAAAACTTTTAATACGAATGTTTGTATATTTTTAGTGCTCAAAAGTAATCATGGTCATCTAATCTTTGTGTGTAAATAATTAACTAATACTTGTATTGTATTAATTTACTATAATGTTGAATAATAAAACATTAACTATAACGTTTGCTACATAATTAATAAAATAATACTTTGAAATATAAAATACAGTAAATTAGTTAAATAAATTAAAATGTATTTTATTTTATTCATTTATTAAAGCAATTACTAAAAATAAATAACGAATAATATTTAAAGTTATAATAAAGTTTAATTATGGTAAAAATCACCCGCTATTAGAGTGTGTAATGAGTGCCTGAATAATGAATTGTTTCGCTAAGCGGTCGTCAAATTCACGAAATTCTTGTGTTAAACATATCTCACGAAAATTCTGTGCCATAAAGTGATGGCATTTGGTCTCCAATTCTTCGCACTTCAGTTCCAGTGCTTTGGTGTAGAGTTGGCACACATTGAAGACATCAATGGATTGTATCATAAACTGAGAGCACTGACTCGCCAGCAAATCCTCGCCGTAAATGTTGGCCAGAGTTAGCAATTGGTCGACAAAATCGGCGCCGATTTCCACACTATTTGTGTATAAATACTGAATAAATGCTGAAAAACTTTTATATGAATATGTTTTGACGCGAATCTCTTTGCTATCGGCGTCCATAACTAGCTCACATTTATTCCAAAACTTTTTGTTTCTTAACCTAAGTATAAGTTTGTGGCCATAAATCAGTTGATTCCTAAACCGGAACACAATGTCATAGTCTTCGGGATTATTGAACGCTTCGTAAAGATTTTGCTGAAAAATAGTCGCATTCGATGCAGAAGTGAGTGATATCTTTGAGTTGAAAAGTGATGATTGTGTGGAATCGATGGACACTGAAGAGTGGTTAAGAGGCAAATCCAAAGAAGTGGTCGTAACACTCGGTGTCTTATTCTTGATGTTATGGATCACCAAATTTGTTGTCTTAAATACCGTTGTTTTGTCACTTTTATTCACTTCTTGTGGCGATTGTGTGTCTGAATCGGTGGTCACGACATCTGAGCATTCATTGGAAGCACTCGTCAATTGATTTGATGGACAGACAATGTGTGTCATCTTAATTGAAAATTTGAGAAACAATTCAAACGCAGATTTGATGTTATTTTTGTCCACTTTTTGGGGTTTAAGTATTGGTTTGCGATCGCATTCACCCCAAACATAGTACTCGTCGTCGACCGCAACACCAATTGATAAGTGACTAAAACATTTAGCGCTAATGTCTTTGAATCGGATGTATTCGGACACTTTGATGGGCAGACACTGACGAGTACTTGTGGTGCCATTGCCTACCTGTCCGCATGAGTTCCTACCAAACGCATAGACCTCTCCATCGGTGGTCAATAGCAGTGAGTGAGCGAAACCGCAAACGACTTTATGGACAATGGGAATGAAGTCCAAAAGTATCGGCTGACTTATGATGCTATCCCTGCTGCGAATCTCCATCTCTCGACCCAACTGTCCGTATCTGTTGTTACCCCACGCGTAGACTCGGCCCGTGTCTGTCAACGCCATTGAGTGGGTTTTACCGCACGAAATGTCCGCTATTTTGTGGCCAAACTCGATGAGCACGGGTTGAAACTTGTTGTCAAGAGTGCGGTCACCCAATTGGCCAAACGTGTTGTGACCCCAACCGTACATACGTTCGCATTCTGTGAGCGCCAGTGTTGTTGAATTGGAGACATATATACGGGTCACTCGTTTGTCCGTTAAATCACCGCCAATTAGTTGAGGCACTGAATGCTTGTCCGCTGAGCCGACGCCCAATTGACCGCAATCGTTGACTCCCCACGAATAGCACCGGCCATTAGCTGTCAATCCAATGCAAAACTGATGCCCGAATTGAATGTCTATCAAACACTTGCCGCTCAGGTATGGGTTAAGTGTGGGACGGGATATGCGCTGACAGTCCGCACCCAAAGCCAGACATCCGTTGCGATTGTCGCCAATGCCGTACACTTTGTCTTCATTTGTCACATATATGACAAACACGCGTCCGAAGACACAAAGTATCCTTAGATTCCTGTATTCCTGTGGCGTTAGATTTGTGGATATGATGTGAAGTGTCTTATAGTCTAATAACTGATCCATTTGTTTGCGACACCGAAAACAATACACTTTTTATTGATAACAATATTGTCGACAAATTCAAACGTTACAACACTTAGGCCTCACGCGAGACCAAAACTAAATATATAATAGTTAACCCGATGTCTAACAATATAAGCAATATCTATGGCAATATTGTATTGCACTATCATTTCTATAGTACAGTCTGTTATATAAATAATAATATTATTATATGTGTGGAGAGCTATCTCTTACGCTGTGATCGCTTTATATTGTCTTTTGATTTTGTATCAGTTTTTAATTTATTTTTGCCCAAAACACAGACTGTGCCGATACTGACAGCCAATTGGTGCTGGAGTTGAGCGAAGAGATGCGATATCATAGCCAGTGTTTGCGACGGTTTATCACTAGATTGTCGTTTATGGTGAAGGGTTTGGAACTGATCTGCAGTGACAACAGTTGGGAACAGTTGTCGGATTTTAAGGACATATTCTGTGCGGAGATAACTCTTTGTGTCCTCTAAGACAATTTGTGTCCAGATGTTTGTGCAAATGATTTATAAATGTATTTAATAAATTAAATTATACTTATATTATATTGATACTTTGATATATTTGCAAACACTGTATATTGAATTAATAAATGATTATTTTAAAACTATTATCCTGTAAAACCATAATTTGATCATGCATAAATATCTAATTATAGCCCGAGTTGACTGATTTTACTGTATAATTTATACTGCATTATTATAAATACATTTAGCTTTTAAAAATACAACAATTGTAACGACCAGGCAGAATTTCTAATACCTGTATATTAAATAATTAGTTATTTATAAAGAAATTGTAGGTTTTGTATACTAATAAATATGAGGTGTAGTCAGTCCCACACCCGCCTAATTTCTATCAATATCTTATTAACTTATGGTAATTAACATAAAGTAAACTATATATGAAAACTTTCTAAACAAACGATAGGACCAAACATTTATATAATGTAAAATAAATTGTGACCCAAATTACAGCACAATATCTGTATATAAATAATATTATTTCAAAGAAAAAATAAAATTTTTGCAACAAATTATTGTAAGAAAAAATAATTTACTTTAAAAGTACTGAATTTTATCTGATTTTCAATAAATTATTAAAAATTTTATCTTTTATTAATATTAGTCTCTCTCTCTCTCTCTCTCTCTCTCTCTCTCTATTATTTTAATTAAATTATGACTTAATTATTGTAAT